TATATATATATATATATATATATATATATATATATATATATATATATATATATATATGCATATGAATATCAGTAAAAATAAATTAAATTCTTTTTGTTTTTTTATTACAATTTATTAAAAATAGTGATGGATATCAAGTTCACAAACCATAATGTGTAACATAGATGTATAATTTATATTACACAATTCTCATAAATGTTACATGTAATATTATATGTACAGATAAACATTACATGCTAGTATGGCTCTATGTCAGCAACTTTTAACATATCATTTATATATCAATTCTATTTAAAAAGATTTATTGCAGTAACATAACTACGTATTACGATCTACGTATTACGATCTACGTATTACGATCTACGTATTACATATTTTTCTATTACATATAATATAACGTAAATGTATATATTATATATTTCTATAAGTTATGTAATATAATATGAATGTACATGTTTATATGATTAAATGTATATATGCGTATAAAAAATAACATTATTTTATCCACTTATATTATTATACTCTTTATAATATATGGCATACATATATTGCAAAGTTATTTTTTTAAATATTAGATACGTTTACACACATTAAGGTATATGTAAGATATATTTATACCTTAATGTATATAAATGTATCTAATATTTAAAAAAATAATATGCAATATATGTATGTGCAATATATTATGTAGAATATAATACTAGAAGTAGATAGAATAATGTTAATTTTTATACACATATACACATTTAATCATATAAACATTAACATGTACACTCATATTATATTACATAACTTATAGAAATATATATTCATTTACGTTTTTAATTCAAACACGTTAATATCACATGTTTTGATCAATAATACAATATTCATAAACATAATGAAATATTTATAATTAATATAATCTTTAATACTTATACCTTAATGTATGAACGTATTTAATATTAAAAGAAATAATATACAATATATATTTCACATATTATATAGAATATAATAAAATAAAGTAGTAGAATGTAAATTTTTATGCGCAAAAATATATTTAATTATATGAACATTGACATGTACGCGCATATATTATATTACATGACAAATAGAAATATATAATATATACGTTTACATTGTGTCCTCAGATAGAACAGTAAATCATGATAACGTTAAGTCGAGAAAGTGATTGAATCATAATCGAAAAGTGAGTTATTACCGAAACTTTTTCATCATTATAACATCATCGTGATTTTTTTGTTTTATCTGGATTTCATCGTAATACTATCTTTTATACTACATAAATATTTAAATATCCACAAGCTTTATATAACATGTCTTATAATTATTTGAAGTTAAAGCACTTTTTATATCAATATAATAATATAATAATGGTATGGTATCTCAATATCACATATCACAAATATGTCAATTTGAACACAGTCTCTTTGGAATACAATCTCATGCAATATAATGTTTGATTACTCGCAGTAACTGTACATTTATTATAAATAGATTATTTCACTTAAAGGCTTCTGGGTACTCCCAACGACTGTTTTTGTTTGATGACATCAGAAGTGAGAAATCATATGCCAATTTATGTAATGGTATGCATGGAGATAAAATAATAAATGCATAAAATAACACTCGTGATCAATTCAGCACACTTGTAAAGATGTTCAAACGGTTTCCTTTAACGTCAACAACCAATAAATAATAAAAAATTATTAATTTAATAATATGCAACTTATGTTTTTAATCTATAGGTATTATGTAACTTATAGGTTAAAAACATAAATTGCATGTATAGACATAATATATCTAAACCGAGGGTTGAGGAGTGGGGGTAAGAGGCACGTAGAAAAGGATGCATTGCGTTTTGAGGGCCTGCATTCTCTCTCATTCGCGCATCTCTGTAACACAATCTTTCTCACACATACGCTTATACACATGCGCGAATGAGAGAAAACACAAGGTCTTCAAGGAAAACGCAATGCATCCTTTTCTTCGGCTCTTTCCCTCGCTCCTCAAATAAAGGCAAACGCTCGGTCTAGATATATTATGTTTATGATTGCATGTTACACTCTAATTTTCAACTATTTATTGATTGTTGACGTTAAAGGAAATCGTCCAAATATTTTTACAAGTATGCTAAATTGACCATGAGTGTCATTTTGTGCATATATTCTTTTATCTCCACGTACACCATCACATAAATTTGCATACAATTTCTCACTTCTGTCATCAAACAAGGATAGCCGTAACGAGTATCCAAGACCCTTTAGTTATATATATTTCTTTGTACCAATTGGAATGCGATAAGAAAATGTAAAACTAAAAATTCTTATAACAAAATAATAAAAAATATAAAAATAAAAATATAATACTATAATAATATTGTTACTAACAGCATTCCATCTTAACATAACTGAAAAAAGGTAAAAAATTTATTAAAATCTTTAGTAACGAAATATAAAAGTATGAAAGTAGAAGAAAGTATAAGTAAAAGAAGCAGTGAAAAATAATTGTAAGTTATGCTTCCTTGTGTACATCGCAATCGCCGAACAATATGTCGGATGCCTGACAAATATTTGGCGTAATATGTAATTACACCGGTCATATCGAAGCTTACTCAGGCGGAACCAATTCGCTTGCTACAGTTTTGCATTCGTTAATCCCTTTCTTTCTTAACACACCTATTAAAATAAACAATAGTATAATTCAAATTACAAATAAAATTGTACCAATTTAGACAAAAAATAAAAATATGCAATTTGTTAAAATAGCTCACCTTTTAAAATGCGGATGCCTTTCAAGTCACACATGCGGTAATTATTCCTGCGATCACACCAAGAACAAGCTCTGCCGAATTCATTTGTAAATAAACGGCTCATACACCGTTGCACCAAATTTTTGTTGCTTTTTCCTCTCACTTTTGTCATAAATGCGATCTTAAAATGATACAATTTAATTAAACCGCCAACACATTCATATGTAATTTGAGAAATTAAATGTAATTCAACACATTATACTTATGATAAATATTATTTATACTCAACAATTAACTTACAAAATTCGCTCTTATTTCAGCACTTTCCTAGTTTTCTTCAAACCTCTTGATTCTCTATGGAATTGATCGGAAGTATATCATCGAATAGATTCATACAATCTTCCGCATTATTAATGTTTCTTTCTAAAGCTTTCAGCCTTTTCTCCATATTTTTTACATATTTTAACGTCTCCACACATATTGGAATCAGTTTTTCTGAAATAAATTGAATAAATAGAAATAACATAAATTAGCTCTTACTATATTGCTTTTCATCAGGATATCATATATTTACATATATTATGATATAATAAGAGTAAATGTAAAATAAAATTCTTACCATTGTCACCAACTGTAGCTAATGGAGAAGCGGTTGAAATAATATCAAAATTTAAGTAAAAGTTATTCAATTATACATATTAATTATACATATTTATTATTCTATTTTACATACTAACAAGAAAATGTTTGGAAATGTTATCTTCTGATATTCCATGAGTTTGGAATATGTTAAAATATAAATCAAAATAAGGAATATGTATTTTTCTACACGTACCTACATTCACTTTTACAGGATAAAACATTAGTTTAAAAAAATCACTTTTTGTCTTTCGGCATAAATATCCCCTAAACTATAAGAGATAGAAAATTTTTGTACGGAAAAGTTAAACGGTTTCACAGAGAACACTTTACAGTAACGTTTATAGCTTAAGAAATAATATTATAATTTATTAAATATTCTTTCCACTCATTTCTTTTCATTGTCTTAAAGATTTCTCTTTAATGAATAAAAAAATATTTTTCTCCGAATGTAATCATATATGACAATCATATTTCGTGATATGGACAAATCGTCCCTTATTTTTATTTATACGTCAACATATTGTAAATTCTTCGAAATAAAAAGAGGAAACTTCTAAACGTTCCTTATTAAGATAAATTTCCTTATTATTAAGATAACATTATTAACAAAAAATTAAATAATTTTGAACTCTTACTTTGCATATACTTCCTGAGATCTAAATTGCAACGGGTTATTATTATCATAAAGTTCATCCGCTTGTAGTGAATCAACTTTCTTTTTTTGTGATTTATTACATAATGAACGGTTTGTTGTAGAGAAGCTTTTCTCGGCAGCAATTTGTGAAACTTGTTCACAGGAGGATAATTTCTCCTGCGAGAAGTGTTTGTCACACAAAGATTTCTTCATGCATGAATCCTGACTTATATCTGTTTTTAACTTGTGTGTGCAGTCTTACATAATTGTGAAGATGGATCTATAAATGTAATAAAAGTTTATAAAATATGAATAGTTTGTTTCACACTAAATCGTTGACATAATATAAAGATAATTTAATAATATTTTTTAACGCAATACTTTCATTTTTAATTCAATAGAAATGAAATACAATTTGATAAAGGTAGATTACCAAAATCACCATCTGCATTGTCGTCGCTAGTGTCATATGCATTATAGAATTGTTTTTTATTTACAACTCTTTCCACGTCTTCTATTTTCGTCACAAGAAGTTGAGTAATTAGCATCTTCTGCTTTTTTCCGTACCTTTTCTAAAGTCTCTATAAAGATTTAAGACTGCATTAATATTGCATACATCATATTTGAAATAACTGCCACTTTTACGCATGCTTATCGTAGTAGGAATCAACTTTTACATAAAAAAGTAACCAGTTTGCCTCTGGTGGAATGTTGTTTTTGAGAAAAAAAATAATCTTAGTTATTGGCCATTTACATTGAGTAAAATTTTTTGTAAGCCATGAGGTTGGAATTTCAGAATACGTGCCTTCTTTCGAAAAATATACTACTGTATAAGATAAGTTAATCTTGATGCGCAATCTATGATATTTTCGTACAGCCAAATATGTAATTATTTATAATCAATTGTAATTATATAATATTAAAAAAATGTAATTATAATAACATAAATAAAATATGTAATATATAATTATATAATACTAAACTAAATATTACTTAAAAACATGAAGGGGAAAAATAGTATAATAAAAGTGTCAATAAAAATGTAATCAACGAACATAGACGTACATTATATTCGCTATTTTTGTGCGGACCTAATGTAATAAGCTAATAACGATACTAGAATTATCATCAGAAGACATAATATTATCTGCTTTTAAATATTTACGTAAAATTTGGTCAGCTGTAACAGTTGTATATGATAAATCTGCTTCATTGCCAGATAATTTATGAATTCCTAGCAGAATTGAATCAAACGGAGAAGTAACAAATAATTTAAGAGACATGTTGTTTTACTCTAAAATATAAAATATTATTATTTAAGTAAATATTCTTCACTGTAGCAATTGTATCGCTTGAAAGAATACAATTATTAGGATTTTTTAACGATAACATAAATCCATCAAACTGTACTCTCTTTACCTCCGTCTTATTTCTATTATAATAAATTATCGGATAATCTTTTGAGGGATTTGAAAAACTTTCCTCAACGTTTCTCCTTTCTACAATTCTGTTAGCTATTTGTTCCAGAGGTTTGCCACTAACTTTTTTATGGTAACAAGTAGTTTTCAAATTTAAAAGCAGAATAACAATCGATTATTCCAAATTGTTTAACATCTGCACATACATGTAGCAAATTGTGCACATTATGTGATAAATATTGATTTCCGTGATACTCATCGAATTTTCGAACAAAGTATTCATAAAGAGATTGTGCGTAATGAAGCATATGCTTATATTGTTTATCTGATATAATCTTAACAGCAACGCATAGACAGGTAAAGTGTATATATCGTTACTTAGGTAGTACATTTTTTGTTATAATTATTCCTGTATACAATGAAAAAAGTTTATATTCTGTCGTTTTCCACCAATCTAAACCTAACAAATGTCTTGGACGACGGTTAATTCTATGGATATAAACTTTTTCAATTTACTATTATGTTGTTGCGCTTTATCTTATAAAACAGTTGTTAATCATATATTTATCGTACCTGTAACTCACAGTCGAAGCATTGTTTTATTTACACCAAGAAAAATAAGATGTATACAATCTAAAGGCATGTTTGAAATTATTCAAATATTTAAAGTCTCTATAATGGTAGGTTATTAAATATTTTTCAGCGTGGTAATCTTCATGTTACCTATTGCGAAATGAATGATCTGTTCTCAATGTTGAATTTTGTTCCAAAAATACGATTTTATTGTTAATAAATTCACCTTCTTGTATACACTTAGTGCAGCTAAAATAACCTGTGTGATCTTTAATACCATAAATGAATAATTTTGTTGGAGCATCACATATAATAGCATTTAATTTAATACGAATAATCATGCCATTAATATCTAAACCGATATCAAAAATGGGTTTTGCTTCTTCTACAAATGGTTTTAAAAAGACATTGACATCTTTTGGTTTTACATTACCATGATAAATACTTATGACGAATGGTTCTGTTTAAAAATCTGCAACTATAGCACCTAAAATTGGCCAAAATTGGCTACCTGAACTTTTTAAAATATGTAATCCATCGATATTAATATTTATTTTCAATTCTACTGGGTACAATAATTTTTAGAAATGCATTTTAATCGAATGCCTTAAACTTTCTGCAAGTCCAAAGTGAATATATTTTTCGTCATTTATTTTTATTATTTTTGACGATACATTACGTGATGTTTTCATCAATGTCCTACAATCAAGTGAAATGCTCAAATTATTCCTTATTAAAAGTTGTAATATATCATTTATGGCACTCTGACTAATATTGTGCTTAGTTACCCAAAATCTTAAATCATCGCATAAAGAATCTTCAATATTTAGTGTCTTCTGATGATAAACTATGAAAATCATTGTCAGTATCTGAATCACTTTCAGTAAAATCAGGACTTACTCCTGAATTATAATTATTAATATTTTCATTATCACTTTGTACATTACAGGTACTAACTTGCACTATTACTTTCTATATTACAGTTATTAATGCTTACATTATCTATTTCCTCTATATAAGTTTTTCTACACTTCCTGAAATGTGGATTATTTAATAAATTAGTTTCATGTAATACAATTCTTCGTTTCCGACGCTGTGATAAATCAGAGAAATCTTTATGCGCATGTGTGTGTAACATAATTATTGATAACGCAGAGTATTTCTGAAACAATAAATAGAATATATATAGAATATATATGTGACATGTATCCTTTACAGGAAAGTATCACTGGCAATGATAAATTGGCAAACGATAAACAAAGTTGGATTTATTAAACAACAATAACTTATCACTGGCTAATTTATCATACTTAGTAATATTTTTGTGTAATGGTTATCAATATCAAACGGAAAGAAACTGTCAAATATTAACACAATTATATTTATTATGCCCATACGAAATTACAAAGTAAAACTACTAATGTTCTTACATATTCGAATATATGTCTTTCTGTGAGGAATATGCAATAATTACATTCAATAACCAAAACATAGATATGAAAATTCAAACGATAAAAGAATATTAATAAATTTACTTACCAGCAAAAATATCCAATTGCAAACACCTCTTTCTGCGCTTTTCCAAATTGCCAAACAAAGATTTCTCCTTCCTTCCTTCCTTCCTTCCTTCAATATTTGGGACAAAGATTTCTCGCTTCTTCATCAATTCAATTTAGGGTGCGTTCCGTTTCCACGCATAATGCGCGTGAAGCGCAGCGTTAGAGTGACAGAAATATGAAAGTAAGATAAAATGAGAGGGAGAGCACTCGGGTGAGGTTCTCGAATATAGGTTAAGGCCTTCACACACACTTTCCGTAACAGTAACCGTAAGGGCTATCGCACACAAATTGACATAACTGCATATGCATAGCATAAGATCGTATGGACCAATCAGCATCGAATATTAAGCATAGAACACCAATATGGCGACTTAATACTCGATGCTCATTGGTACATACGGTCTTATGCTATGCATATGCAGTTATGTCAATTTGTGTGCGATAGCCCTAAGATGTAACGTAAGAATTGACCAATCACGTTGAAAATCGTCGAAACAAAAGGTCGCCATTTTTGTGAATACTCCATCGTAATTGGTCAATTCTTACGTTACGTCTTACGGTTACTGTTACGCAAAGTGTGTGTGAAGGCCTTTAGGTTAGTTCTCGAACGCATGAACTGCATCAGCTCCGAGGTAGTGCAGTCTATGCGATCTCATGCGTCAAGAACTAACCTAACCTAGGTTCGACAACCTCACCCGAGAGCTCTCCCTCTCTTTTTATCTCACTCTCGTATCTCTGTCACTCTAACGCTGCGTTTCATGCGCATCATGCGTGGAAACGGAACGCACCCTTAATTATTGGCTAAGCGCACTATACATTGAGTGTCTCTACGCCATTACTCCGGACATGCTTCCATCGTATATATGCTTGCGCAATGGGTACGTTTTCAAATGGTGTAGCCAATCCGTGCTAGAAAACTAGAGATGTAAACAGTTTTATGTTTCTTATGTCAAAGGATAAAGCGTAAATGTCATTTTGAGGTGTATATCCAATTTATACATTATTAAAATTAGTTTCTCCGAATTCTCTGAGTAAAGAGAACAGTCAAATAGTATGTGATGTAAGTTCTTTTGTTCCGCTCTACAGTCACAGGTTTCAGTTGTTATAATTTCCTTATCTACAAGATGTGTGCTAGTGCGTACGTGGTATGATCTCATTCTTGCAATTAACGATATTACATCTCGCTTTATAAATTTATATTCCCAAAACCATGGTCTGGTAGATAGACTGCTTATTCCCGAGCGATAATTTTTCCCTTTCCATAAGAATTGTTTGTTTAATACTTTTTGGGCTAAGTAAATACCAGGTGTACAAGTATGAAATGCGGATTTTTTTCCAAAAAAACACGTTAAATTCGGAAGAATGATAAAAAGAGGTTTATTCAAAGTATGCTCCATTGCTAGTTACACATTTTTCCCATCTTTCGGGCAATTTATGGATACCACGCCAGTAAAAATCTTCCCCTTTTGTCGCGAACCATTCATCGAGCCATTTTTTCACATTTTCGTACGAACCAAAGCGCTGCTCAGCAAGTGCGTGACCCATCGATGCAAACAAGTGGTAATCGGAAGAAGCCAAGTCTGGTGAGTAAGCCGCATGGGGTAGAACTTCCCAGCTGAGTGCTTCCAACGTGTCGCGAACCGGTCTTGCCGTATGTGATGGAGCATTGTTATAGAGAAAAATGATCTTGTGTTGCCTCTTTTGGTATTCTGGTCGTTTTTCAAGCAGCGAACGGTTCAAATCGATCAATTGTTGTTGGTAGCGTTTGGTATTAACCGTTTCACGAGGCTTTAACAGCTCATAATAGACCACATCCTTCTGGTCCCACCAAACACAGAGCATCGTCTTCCTGCCAAAGGGTGTATATCAGTTGGACACGGGGCAATTGGACACAGTCCAATCACAAGTCGCTGTTCTAAGGGACCCTACAAATGTCTCTAATCACACGGTGCTGTGATTGGCTGTGTCCAAATGCACCGTGTCCAAGTGCATCGCTCCCCCTGCCAAAGCGATTTGGTCTTGCGGTCGATATGGATGATGCGCCTGGGTCTACCCATGATTTTTTGCGCTTGGGATTCTCAAAATAAATCCACTTTTCATCCTCAGTAACGATACGATGCAAAAACGACTTTCTTTTGTATCGTTTGAGCAAAATTTCACATGTGTTTTTGCGCCTCTCCATCTGCCTCTCGTTCAACTCATGTGGTACCCATTTGCCGATCTTCTGAATCTTTCCCATCTCTCGTAGCCGATTGGAAACAGCTTGTTGACTAACGTTCAATTGCTCTGCGAGTTGTTTTTGTGTTTGTGAATCATCTTCGTCCAACAATGCTTACAACTCCACATCTTCGTATCTTTTTGGCGGTTTTCCGTGTTCCTTGTTTGCAACATCGAAATCACCACTTTTGAAACGCCGAAACCATCGTTCACACGTATCTTGCGATGGAGCATGTTCACCATAAGCTTCTCGAAGTAATCGGTATGATTCAGCAGCAGTTTTCTTCAAATGAAAACAAAAAATTAATGCTGTCCGCGAATACTCTTTATTTGGTATAAATTTCGACATATTGAACACAGCAACACAACACTATGCAAACACTTTTTTAATTTATCACTCATACGCGTTTGACACTTGTTGATGGCACAACAAAATGGCATAAATGTCAAATCTTTATACCACACACTGCATTGGTGCGCCATCTGTTCTCTTAAATCCAATTTTATACTTGTACACCTGGTAAATTCAAGGTCCACATTTGATATTAGATCTTCTACAAGTATGTTTCCTTGCAGAGGATTTAAAGAGCTTTAATTTGGCTAATTTGGCAAGTGTATCTGCTTTTTTATTTCCTTCTATACCTCTATGTGCTGGGACCCATATAAGCATGACGATGATACCTTGATTTTTGGTGTTCTGAAGGAGGTGTATATCAGTTGGACACGGGGCAATTGGACACAGTCCAATCACAAGTCGCTGTTCCAAGGGACCCTACAAATGTCTCTAATCACACGGTGCTGTGATTGGCTGTGTCCAAATGCACCGTGTCCAAGTGCACCGCTCCCTTCTGAAGGAGCTGTGCTATTTTTAAAGTAAAATAACTTGGCCTCTTTTTTGCAACTAGGTTGCTCAGATTAGACAGGATGCTCAGAGAGTCAGTGCATATCACAATATTTTATATGTTTTACCAATGTTTAATGAGATATTCAATGCTTCAATTATAGCCTGTGCTTCTACGTTCATAATAACTTGAGTATTGGAGTAAGAGTATGATACATTAATCGGAGGTTCAATGGAGTAAATTCCATATCCAGCTCTTCCCCCAGGGACTATGGAGTCATCTGTGTAAATTACAATGTCATATTTTTTCTCAGAGAAAATTGCATTGAATCTTCTATTCATGCCTGCAATGGAAATCCTTTTGGAACCATTATAAAAGTAATTTTCAGCCTTTTTCTTATATTTGGTAAGAGACTTAAAGGAAATAATATCCACTCTAACAGGGTAAAACTTGAGGTTAACTGGAAAAGCCAGGTGCCCATCTAATCTTGCTGGTTCAACGTTTAGAATTGCTTCAGCATATGGAGAAAGAATTGATTTAGATCTAAATCTTATTTGTTCTTCTGGCTCCAAGGATTCTAAATTGTTTTGCCAGGGTATGTCAACTTGAGGATGTGAAGGAAGTGGAAACAGTTTCATTGTGTGAGAAAAATTTGGATAAGAATCAATTAATTTCTTCATCGCTAGCTTAGTTATGTTGAATAGACGTCTTACCACCAGCGGCCATTCCCCACACTGATCGAGGATTATGTTGGTCGGAGTTGTGCACATAAATCCTAATACACATCTTAAAGATGCGAATTGCAGCCTGTCTAACTTGAGCGAGAGAGAAGAAGAAAGATTAAGCAAAGGATATCCGCCATAGTCTAAGACAGATCTTATTAGCCCTCGATAGACTGTTAAAATTATGGTGGGATGTGAACCCCATCTTATACCCGCAATAACTTTTAAGATTTTTATTCTGGACACACACTTATTAATTATGGAAGACACTTAGCTTTTCCAGGATAAAGATATATTGAAAATTACTTGGCCTCCCTGGATAATTCTACAAGTTGACCGTTGCAGTTGATTTGGGAGGGTAAGGAAGAGTAAATTTTTTTCATTGTATTAAATCGAAGCGACTTATCAAAGATATAATACTTAGTCTTAGAGGGGGACAATATAAGATCTAACTCATTTAGGTTTTTTCTTATCAGCTTCAGGTTGTGATTTAGTTTTATTGTGATTTCACTAATCAAGCTATGTTTACAGAAAATCGCTAAGTCATCTGCATATGCTAAAATTTGGATGTCATTTTCTAAACCTATATACATATACCTATGAATATGTTATACGTGAGGGAGCGGTGCACTTGGACACGGTGCATTTGGACACAGCCAATCACAGCACCGTGTGATTAGAGACATTTGTTGGGTCCCTTGAAACAGCGACTTGTGATTGGACTGTGTCCAATTGCCCCGTGTCCAACTGATATACACCCTATACATGATAGGCTCAAAGCTGAGCCTTGTGGGAGTCCTATGGATGTTTTTTTAGTTCCTAAGGAGCGCCCATTATGAAAACATTTCTATTGAAAAGGAACGCCTGAACCGCAAGGATAATATTTGCAGGAAAACCCATGTGGGATAGGAGGCAAATAGTTTGGAAGGGTTAACGTTGTCAAATGCACCCTTTATGTCTAAAAATATCACACCAGTTTTTTTGTTTTATTCAAAAAAATCTTAGATGAACTGCTTTAGGTCGAGAATGTTATGAGGGCATGCTCGTCCTATTCGAAAGCCTTTTTGAAAAGGAGGTAGGATTTTGGAATTCTCTGACCACCATTCTATTCGATGATGTAAGATTTTCTCGTATAACTTTGCTAAATTGTTGGCCAAAGATATTGGCCTCACGCCATCTCCTTTGGGTATAAATATTAATGTATAGTTCTTCCAGGATGAAGGAATTTTGCCGTTTTGGAAAAACCCATTGAACAGCCCCAACACTATTTCAAGAACAGTTGGAGAAAAATTTTTAATTATTTGCCAAGTAAGTAGATCCGGATCCAAGAGAGGATTTTTTACGCGAGAGAAGCTTTAAAGCCGCAAATAATTTAGCTTTACTGATTTCCTTGGATAATAAGCTTTTTTTTTATAATTTCATTACCTGGAAGATTTTGTGTTTTGGATCGAAAGGATTGAGCTAAGTTGTTGATGAAACAGTTACTTACTGGCAATGGGTTTTCAGTGGAAATTGTTTTTTCGAAATTTTCTATTACTTGTGGCAGTTTATTCTCGGTTGCTTTTGCGTTGAGATCTTCAATCCTTTTACTGTTTTTAAAGGCTTTAGTAATGTTCCATGTTTTCCTAGAATCCGAATCAAAACTGAGTAAGTTGCAAAATGATTTGAACTTATCCTTTCTAATTTTTTTAAGCTTTTTATTTGAACTGCGGCATTCCTTACGATATAAATTGAGATTGATTCTATTTGGGGCCGATTTGTACCTTTTATATGCGTTTAACTTATTTTGAATGATATTTTTGCAATTTGAATCCCACCAAGGAGAGGGAGGCCTTCTAATTATTGTTCCTTCACAAGGCTTTCGGGTGCCTGCTTCTATGAAAACTTCTTTGACGAGTCTTATAAGTTCTTTATATGCCATGATGGGGCTCAGAGAGTTTTTCAGAAGAAGCGAAATCTTGCAGATGAGAGGATACCTCTTCTAGACGAAGTGAGAAGAAAGGCCAATCAATCTTGCTGACTACGTAGTGTGGCCTGGACTGGATCCTAGTAAGAGAAGAAGAATTGAAATAAATGAGTATCGGGAAGTGATCGCTTCCGTGCTCTCTTCTACCTTCCATTCTAGCAGCGTAATTATTGTGTTGGAGGCTAATGTAATATCTGGCGAGCTAGTGATTTGTCCATTTGAAGAAGACCAAGTTAGAGAATGCTGATTTACAATCATTAGGCTTAAGTTGGACAATGCGTTATGAATTGTATTTCCTATGTTATTAGGGATAGTATGAGGAGGACCCCATGCTGGATGAGAGCCGTTGAAATCTCCGCAGATGATTACATTATCTAATGAATCCAGAAAGGATAATACCTCTGACCATATCTCTGAGGAATTTCCCCCCGCGTACCTAGCAGAGGCTGGAGGACAGTATATGGAGGCAAAGATTTAAATTTCCACTTTGGAATCTAAGTCCGCATATATCTAGATCTAAAGCCACCGAAACCTTTCTTATCCATATATTGCAGTTCAGGTCTAATACTTTTACTTCTATGTCACTTTTATATATAATCGCATTACCTCCTCCAGACCGTGATCTATGAGCAGCAATTATATTATATCCTTTCATATTGAACCTCGAGTTGCCATCCATCCACGTTTCACTAAGACAAATGAATTGCGGAGGGACGTTAGACTGAGAGATGAAGTTAATCAGCTCGAATTTCCTTGCATTTTATGATCGACAATTCCATTGAACTATTATCAGTTTACTAAGCTTAGCCATTAGAAAGTTTACCTTTCGCGCTAAAAGAAAGATTTTTTATTTAGAAGTTGAAAAGGAAGTTTTAATGTCCTGTAGTTGTGTAAAAATTGTTAAAAGTAGTGAATTGGAATTAGTGTCTTCACTAGAATTGATCATGCTATTAATGAGAGAGTTGAGAGAGTTAGTCAGATTAACTATACTATTTTGTAAGTGCAGATATTTTTCATCGTTTAAAGAGTACATATGTCCTTTATTATATTTTTTTGGTAGGAAAAACATTTGAAGTAAATGGCAACTGCGAAGATGTATTGTCCCCCTTAGTAGAGACTAGAGACTCGATATATGTAGAATTTGAAGTGTTTGAGTAAGGAGGTGAATCTGATGAGGAAGAGGAAGAGACAAATGGAAAGAATCTCACCCTCCTTTTTAAAATAGGTTTAAGAGGATTTTTTAAGGCAAAATTATGAAAGTCGCTTTTTGCAGAGGAGAAAATGGCAGAGGCCGTGTTAGAGGAATCATTTCCTGCCGGACCGAAATGCTTAAATAGCGGAGCTTCAGATGGCGTAGGTGAAGAGGAGAATGGGTACTACAAAGCAGTAAAGCCTGTAGAATCACTCGAGAAATTACTGCAAGTGCTTGGAGCACCAGAGAGAATCGAGCTATACAATGACGGCATTGAGGGAACATGTCTTGCAACATATGTACTGAAGCAATCATAGGATTGTGTAGGCCGTGTGGAGAAGGATGAAGGGAGGATTTCGTTGACATACCTTTTGTAAAATTCGCGAGCATCTAGGTTGCTAATGCCTAGAATGGTTATTAGCTGCTTAACCCGTCTGTTTTCCTCGAATATTGGGCAGGCCAGGCTGCTTGCAGTGTGTGTTGCATCTTTAATCCTCCTTCTGCAGCAGTTTATACACTTGGGGGAGTTTATACACTTGGCAAAGAGGCATTCATTATCCTGGTGTCCTTCCTCCGCATATTTGGAGCAAACTCGAAGCGAATTTCTGCTTCTACACTGCTCTATCACGTGTCCAAATCGCTGGCAATGGTGACATCTTATTACCTTTTGAATATATGGCTTGAGGTTAACCACTTTGCCATATAAGGATGCTTTATCTGGATAAATAGATCCATCAAAGGTGATTATGTAAGTAGATCTGTATCTCCTACGAGGTTGAGTGGAAGTGGAGGAATCTGAAACTGACTTTGTTATATTTTTGACAGCTATAACCTTAGGCCAGGGGTCTCCCGGGGGAGGAGATAGATTCTCTATGATTTCGTCTACCGAGTCCCACGACTCCATGACCAAAGTCCCACGAGATACACATGCGTTGTATTTTACAATTGGGTATATAAGCAATCCAATTGGAGTGTGTGAATAATTAGTCACGGACCTTCATGAATTTCTGAACTACCGCATTCGCAGTATCTTTACTGCTGAATTTCACTGAAAATTTGCTTTTGCCAACATTTTTAAAGTCTGTGACCTCGTTCCATAAAGATAAGATTTAGCGCTGCCTTTCCAAATTGTAACTCGCTAATTGCTGGAGGTTCTTGGTTATTCGATAATAACTTTGAGGAAACGAAGCCCTCAATCCTTACCTCGTATGGCCCATTATGTAAAGCTGGGTATTTGTTCTCCGCTAGTTTTGACAGATGAGGGGGAACGTCCCTGTATAGTTTCTTGTATTCTTCATCAGGTGAAGAGCCTGAGAGTGATGATGATTGTGATTGGTCTGAGGTATGACCATCCTTGGGGTTTAACACGTTACTTCTCCTTTTAGTAGTCTTACGTGCTACTATCTTTATCATAGGCGTTGACGATAAATCTTTACTGAGTAAGTGAGACAAGTCCCGTTCTTGCACGCAAGACTCGGACGTGGAAGTTGGTGACGTCATCTTTATTCACGCGCACAATGGATGCCTATGTCGAACAAAGGGTCTCGTATCTTGCGGTTTCGCACGAGGAAGCGCTCTAAGCGAGGATGTAATTACTCGCCTTATCAGGTGCACAAGGCACTAAAATACGAGTTTATCTCGAATACGTATATTTATCTCGAAGATCGCTATTAAAACAGCGTTTTTGTTAATATATTACACCGCTCACTTACTTCACTTGCGCTCTTGCACTGTTGCAGTGTTGCCAACGTAACTGCCTCGCTTCTTCATCATGTGTTCAGCCTATACAATGGCCTATTCTTTTTAGCTGCACTACTGAACTAGTGCAATTAAAAAGAACATAACTTTCCATCACTGCATAGAAGGAAAAAAAATTGCGCATATGCAGTAAACAATTACTGACATGCTTTATCGTTTACATCGCATATATAGAGTCTTCTAAAAGTCTTACAACGCTAAAATATTCAACCTGGATATATACGTATAAAAAAAATATAACTTTATTTTTTTAAAGCGCTCTCTAAATTATGTAATATTTATAACTCGTCTACATAACAGTAAAATATAACATTGTTCTTTTTATGTGCTTCCTACGTTATGTTACAGTTACTTATTGGTTTGCTGGGTATATATTCTATTATATTGTTGCGGGCGCATCGAGACGCCGTATTCATGTCGCTCCTGAAATCCACGGCTTACAAGTGATCCTTAGCAACGGTCGGTGTGCTGTTTGTTTTGAGAGCTGAAGGGGATCTCTTGACAGCTTCAGCATCGTGCGGACGTTTTGGCTAAGAGAAAACGGTTTTCCCGACGTATTATTTTCTGCTCAAAGAATAAAGGCTACTTCTTTTTTTAAAAAACTGTTATAGTTCTTTCCCCCGCGCTGGCGAGTGTAACAATATTTATATACGAGTTATGATTGCGCAAATAAGAGTTGATTCTTCGGAGGACGTGTAAAGGGTAAATTGATTTCTATAATATATGTAAAAAGTAAATTGATTTCTATAATTATATACGGGGTGATCCACTTAAATTGAACACCTTAAATATTTCACTTATTTTTGATGATACGGAAAAATGATTCAGATGAAAGTGAAAGGATATCGAGGAAGACACATTTTGGTAAACGTTATTTTTTTAATTATTAGGTGCTAAAAAGATATCGGGGTCACCTTTACTTTTTTAAATGAAATTATTATTTTTATATAAATATGATTCTTTTATTTATTTTATGTATAAAAATACTAAGTATAATTGCCAAAAAATCAATAATTTACGAGATATTTTATACTTCATTCTGACAAAAAATTTAAATAAGGAGATATTCAAAATGATGTCTTCCGACTTCAATATCTTTTCCGACTTCAATATATTTAAATCCCACCGACTTTTTTGTTTGGGAAATGTTGAAAAACATTGCTTTCAATGATGTACCAATTACACACGAGACCATGAAAGAACGTATTTTGGAATCATATGCGTGTATAAATTCAGAAATTATAAGATGTAGTAAAAAGAAATCCATTATTTTTGCATGAAATTGAAAGCTTTATTTAGCATAGTTAGAATGATCCGATTTAAGTCAAATATGCACCGTTTTGTTCGATAACTTGTTACCATTTTGAAGGTAATTCCATTATGCCTCTCTCATAGAAACCCTTGTCCCTATTGGTAAAAAACTGGGACAGTCGATTTTCACAAGCTTCTTTTGAGCCAAATTTTTCACCAGCAAAATCATTCGCCATAGACAGGAACAGGTGGTAATCACTTGGTGCCAGGTCCGGACTATAAGGTTGATGCATAAGAACCTCCTAACCAAGCTCCCGGAGCTTCTGGCGAGTCACTATCGATGTGTGTGGCCTGGCGTTGTCCTGATGGAACACAATTCCTCTCCTATTGGCCAAAGCTGGCCGCTTCTGGGCGATTGATTCCTTCAGACGGTCCAATTGTTGACAGTACAGGTCCGAATTAAGAGTTTGGCCGTAGGGGAGCAGCTCATAGTGGATGATTCCCTGCCAATCCCACCAAACACACAGCAAAGCCTTCCTGACCGTCAATCCTGGCTTGGCCACCGTTTGCGCCGGCTCACCGCGTTTCGACCACGACCGTTTTCGCTTGACGTTGTCGTAAGTGACCCACTTTTCATCACCAGTCACCATTCGCTGCAGAAATAGGTCGATTTTGTTGCGATTCAGCAGTGATTCGGAGATGGAAATTCGGTCCATGAAGTTTTTTTGCGTTAACTCGTGTGGCACCCATACAT